ATGTGATCTAGTCACTGTACCTAGAGAGGTTCTAGGACATATCAATGTTCTCAGGGATATACACTGACTAGACGGACTCAGGAGACACTATTTCCTATTTACAATGAGAAATAGAACCATTGAACCAGATGCAGCGGTGCTCACTTGTAATTGCAGTGACTTGGGAGGCTGAGGCAAGAGGGTCTGAAGTTCAAGACTGGCTCAACAACTTAGTGATACCTTGTCTTAAAATTTTAAAAAAGGTCTGGGGATGGAGCTCCGTAGTAAGTCACCCCTGGGTTCTATCCCTAATACTGGGGGTAGGGGAAAGAATAAAGAGGATCATTGTCTAGAGCCTGAAGCTTGGCTATCCAGGGCTTCTCCCCAGCCAAAAGATCGAAAGTCTGAGGGAAGACAGATTAGCCAGAAAGTTACCCATAGCAGGTGGGATTTCATAACATTTGATAGATGGTTAAAATTTGAGAGCTGCTTCTGTCATGTACAACTTCTTAGGTTCATGTCACCTAAGAAGTGAGTTAGGGTCACTTTCTCTGTCCTCAAGGTTAATTATATTAAGCTGAAGCATTAGAGTTGCCCATTGATTGTTCAGGTCACACATTTTCTAAGAATCCCTAACCTTGATGGAATCGGGTTTGTAAAATTCGTCAGTCATCTATTTTCCAGCCATCAAGGTTGGCTAGATCCCTCATTTTGTTTCTCACATTTAAATCTTCCCTTGCTCACTGAGGGCCGGTGGCCTGCCGTGCTGAGGTGGCCTAGCCATCCACTGGCCACCTCAGTGTTCTTTGCATAACGAAAAAAAGATGATTAAACCAGGAGTCGGGGAACTGGATGCCTAAGCCTCGTCCTGGGCAGGTCATGTTCCTCTTGCCTTTAGCCCTTCCTCAGTTCGTTTCTGAGGTCCCTTTTTCTTTCCCAAATTCTCCCATCTTGAGGGGGTTAGGGGGAGGCTGGGTTTCTCTCTCTCTAATACAGCCTCATTTTTTCAGATCAGGACCGCCTGGATAAAGAAATAGAAAAACTCCGGAAACAACTTAAAGTGAAGGTCAACCGCCTCTTTGAGGCCCAAGGTATTGCCCTAGGGGACCTGGAACCAGGAGGGGAGGGAACCATCAGTCACACTTGGAAGGACAGGATGGACAGTGATGGGAGCTTCATGTGCTGAAGTAGTGGTTGTAGCCACCCAGAGATAAAATGGATAGGGAGGTTTGTGGGTCTTTTAACTCCTGTCTTAGCTTCTTTTCCAGGCACCAGAAACTGCCTGGGGTGATGTCATATCATATGCCAGCACTTGATGTAGGGACCATGATAATTCTGACCCAAATAACTCAGGTGGTAGGCTGGGGCTGGGGGTCAGTGGTAGAGCGCTTACCTGGCACATGTGACACACTGGATTCGATCCTCAGCACCACATACAAATAAGTAAACAAAATAAAGGCCTGTGTTCATGTACAACTAAAAAAATCAATTAAAATTAATTTTTTTTTTTTTTTTTTTTGAAGCTCAGGTGGTGAAGGTCAGAACTAAAATCCTAGGTAAACCTAAGCATTTCTGTGATGGGGTCTGGCATAAATCTGTAGTTCTGTAGGCAGCAGCTGTGACTTTGCAGGTTCTTGAGGCCCTGGAGCTGTGTTGCTGTGCATCCTCTAGTGCGCTGCAGAACCTGAGGCCCATCCTGTCAGACAGGCTGTTTGGCAGCATTAATGCAGAGTTAGCCGCTTTCCTGGGCCTGACTCCAGAGCCAGCAGTAGGTTGGGCAGCAGGAAGCACAACTTGCTCATGAATTCTTCTCCCCCCAGGCAAACCGGAGCTGAAGGGTTTTAATCTGAATCCTCTCAACCGGGATGAGCTTAAAGCTCTCAAGGTCATCTTGAAAGGATAAGACTCAAGTACCAAGATGGGGGACCTATGGACCAGCATCCAACCCTCCAACCTTGAAACCTGCAAGGACAGGATCAGCCCTATAAGGGCATGGGTGTCAGAAATATGGCTATGGCTCCTCTATCTGTCTGCAGCACTTGGCTGCTGTGGGATCCCTCAGCTTGTCCCTCTCTACTGTCTGACCACTGAGGCTTGGTGGACACAAGACCTATTGACAGGCCCTTCTGCTACCAGTAGGTGTGTGGGGGTGTTGAATGACTGCAGCAGGCACTTCTCAACAATGGCCTGCTGTCCAGATGGGCCCTGGGTAGGGAGAAGGGAGAGGTGGAGCGCAAGCTCCTGCCAGCATTCCTCTAGGTGGGGGGAGGCCTTTTCAGGCAGCATGTGTAACAATGGAAGGAAAGCAGGAGGCTGGGCTGGCAGGTGGCTTCTGAATGAAGCTCGGACTCTGTTCATCACCGCCATCCATGAGGCAGGCCCATGTTTCCCCCACCTCCAGTTTTGTCCTTCCTGCTGGCTTTCTGGAGCAGGTGCTGCTTATCAAGCCCCACAGCTGCTCTCAGTGGGGCCTTGCAGAATGCATTAGGGAGAGCTTACCTCCTAGCTCATGTTCATATCTAGTGCCTCTGAAAGCTTTTAAAGGCAGTGGTGCTGCTCAGACTTGGCTTCTTCCTGGCCTGAGATGCTAGGATAGCTGTGCTGTGAGGACAGAATTGTCCTTTGTGTTTATTGAAGGATCAATAAATGTTAGCTGTACAAACAAGTAGTTTCTAGTTGTCACTTCATTCAGTCTTTCACTGAGGACATAGCATTCCTTTAAAAATATAATTTATGAAGGGAGGAGGCCCTTCCCTTAAAATGATACCAGGCTCAAACAGGTAAAAAGTAACAAATGAGGTGTTGCACTTCACACGGTCCCCTCGCTCCACTTGGCCCCAAGTGATGGAAGAACATGGGCCAGTATGGCCAGATCATAAGACTTCCAAGAGGAGCTAGAAATCAGGTGATTAGGTTGAATCTCCTGTTTTTTAAATATTGCTGATCAAATGTTTAGAAACTTGAGTTTCAGTCAGGTAAAACACCTTATGGAAGCCAAATCTGACCCAGACCTGCAATTCGCATCTCTGTGTAGAAATCCCTGTTTTCCCTGTAATAACCCTGAGACGTAAAAGGTGGAGTCGAACAAGCTCCACGTCTGTTCGCAGGGGACTAGTTAGAGGAGTGAGTAGTTCCAGAGTGGATAGCCACATGGCTGTGAGCAAGGAGAGGGAACTTGGACCCCAAGGTAGAACAAGTAGCAAGCTACACTGAGAAAAGCAAGAGGCAGAACAGGTGTGTCCGGCTGTGTGTCGACACTATGTGGTTCCCTCAAGGAGAAACTAGGGTGGGCACAAGGGTGGGAGGGAAGGTGTCACTGTTTACCCTTTTTTGTAGATTTTGAACTTTATGTAAATATATTGCATATTTTAAAATAGAAATGTAAAGGTAGGAGTTGCAGAATTAACTTTGGTATATGCCGTCTGGTATGACTATCTGGCTTACAGTGTCCCCTTTGGAACATTGCTCCTGCTTGCGTGGTGGGTGGGTGCCCCAAAAAACCAATCAGATTCTTTTTCCTGGAAACAGGAAACCTGGAGCCCATGCCTTGAGTTACATAGCCTTGCCACTCAGGGATGAAGGGAAGTTCCCCTCCTCTGGAGGCAGAAGGTCCAAAGCTGGGTTCTTGGCCTTTCCAAGACCAGTTGGCTCACTTTTTGAATTGCTGTTATTTTTCTTCCCCACATTTGCAGCCAAAACAACCCAGAAATGGAGAGTTAGAGGGAGCCACCTGGATCCCTGGGTAGGTAGGTCCCCATGGAGCAGTTAGCCGACCAGTCAAGGTTGTTGTAACCCCTCTGAAACCAAGAATAGAATTTGGACTGGAATGTCGAAGGCGGGGGTGGGTAGGGATGCAGAATATTTTACTTATACCCAGTTCCCCAGGCAATCTTGTTTACCAGCCCAAGGATTTCTGGTTTTGAAAACTCAGCTCCCAACTCAAATAGGAAGCCCCAGATAGGTGCCTAAGGCACCTAGATGACAGACAAAAGCATTTTGGGGTGAAGGGGTGCTGGAGATTGAACCCAGGGGTGCTTGATCACTGAGATGCATCCCCAGCCCTTTTTATTTTGAGGTGGTCTTGGATAAGTTGCTTATGGCCTCACTTAGTTGCCGAGGCTGGCTTTGAACTCACAATCCTCCTGCCGAGCTTCCTGAGCCACTGGGATTACAGGCATGTGTCACCACTCCCAGCCACAAATGCATTTTTGAAGAGGCACTAAGCAGCTTTACCTTCCCAACTCTCATCTTTTCCATCTGAAAAATGGGCATACTGGCTTTCAGATGGTGACCAGGGAAATCCATGGGTTCCACTGAGAAGCAAGGTCATTGTGTTGCAAAAAGGAGGGCTCAGCACTTCCCCAGACACCTAGTAAACACAATCTAATAATTGCTTGCTTTGCAAGAACAGTTTAAAGAAATTCCCTGGAGCCTGAACTCTTGATCCAAGGGACCCTTCCAGCATGATCTGAGAGGCACCAAAATGCCAAAGCCAGCCAAGCCTGGTGGTGCACACCTGTAATGCCAGCTACTTGGGAAATGGAGGCAGGAGCATTGCAAGTTCAAGGCCAACTTTGGCAACTTAAATAGACCCTGTCTCAAAATTAGAAAAAAAAAGGACTGGGGATGTACTCAGTGATAGAGCACCCCAGGTTCAAGCCCCAGTACTGCCACATTAAAAAAAAAAAAAAAGCCAAAGTTCAATGAACCTGGCTGCAACCAACAGCCTCCCCTGAGCCAGACCCAGTACCCAGTGACTTTCCTCCAAGTAAGGCCTGTGCTCATTTATTAGATGTGATCTCTCTGGGGTAGCAGAACTTGCTGCACTTGTCTTCTTTGGGTCCATTCACCAAGCCAGTCTGTCAAGGTTAAAGCCCCTCCAGTCCCAGGGATTGGCTGTCTCCTGGTGCAAAGAAGCGGCAGGGTGGGGGTAGGGATCCAAGGGGCCCATCCAAGCAGCAAGCAGAGGCTGCTTAGCCAGCAAAGCTGCTGCCAAGCTGGAGGGAGGGAGAGAGGGAGGGGGAAGGCCGCAAGGTACCACTGTGCTGGAATCTGGGGTGGCACCTTGCAGGGCCTCTTGGCTCCCCATGGCAGCTGGGGTCAGCTGGATGCTTTCTTCTGGGCTTGGAGGGAGCGGAACAGCTGCCTCAGCTGTTTTTTCCGATCGTTGACGCAGCCTGGAAGGGAAGTGAGATGTTGGCTGGGATGCTGTTCTTGGGGGGGAGTGGAGGGCCCCATGCACCCATTAGGAGGGAAGAGGGGACAGCAGGAGTTGTGCAGCCACACGTGGCCAGGGTTTGCATCCTGGCTCCACTCCTGAGCTGCCAGGGCCCTCAAGCAGTCATTTACCTCTGTGAACGTCAGTTTCCTCAGTCAGGACAATACCACCCACCTTGCAGAGAGAACATAAGGACCCGGCAGCAAGAGCTGAAGCTGGCTGGCCTCCAGCCAGGTGCTGCAGGTGTCACACACGCATAAACGTCTTAAACCCTCACAGAGCCATGTGCAGTCAAGAAAGTGGAAGCACAGAGAGGCCATGTGCCCCAGCTCACACAAGCGGCCCCGTGGGGACTTGAACCCGGGCTCTCTGGTGCTGGAACGAAGCTCATAACCGCTGTCCCACCCACACTCACTTTAGTCCTGCTGTAGCTCAGTGAAGATGCGTAAAGCTAGCACAGCATCTGAAGCCCAGGAAATGCCGGCTTTCTTGCCCTACCCAGCCTGTGTGCCAGGCACAATTGTCTAAGAGATGAGTTGTCCCCACAAGTGGCCCCTGGCTCACCAGAATGTGTCCCTGGGCAGTCCATGCCGAGGCCACCTCCCAGCATGTTCATGGCGTGGCCTGTTTCTGCCTGCTTTCACAGCTGATCCTTAAGGCACCTCCACACTCATTTAATCTGTGCCAGGCATATTGATGGCACTCATCAGTGCTGCCTGAATGACTTGGCCACAGTACTGACCTGGAGGTACCTGCCATCTTAGCACTCAAACCCCTGCCGGTCATCAAGGCCTCCCTGAGCTGAGAGCCCACTATGTCTATCTGGCCTTAGGATTTTCCAAAGTGAGTCCCCTGGAACCCTACCTTAACTGTCTATCATTGGCTCTTTCATCATGCCAAATCTTCCTGCCAGTGCAAACCCCTTTTTACAAGTTGCAGACTGATCTCTTATCTGCTGACCTTGTCATCCAGATATCCCTGAGCATATCCCTAACTCAGTCCTCAATTATCTTCCTCCTGCCCCCAACCCCCACCTCCTGTGTTTACCACCACCCACCCAAATACTCAACTGGAAACTTGGAATAATTCTAGAGACTTTTAAAACAGTGGCTCTCTACCTGCACTGAGTCATTGGGAGCTTTTTAAAATGTCAATGCCCAGTCCAACCATATCTTTATTTCTGATAGGCATATATTTTTTAAAGTTCCCAGGTGGTTCTGATGTGCCACTGAGATGAAGAACTACTGTGCCCTCCCTGGGCTACCCAAACAGGTGCCCAGGAGCCAGCAGCACTGGTATTGGGAGTGTTTTGCCCACAGAGATGGCTGCGATTTTCCCCATTGCTACACATACCTCTGTGAGGTGACTGCCACTCCTCTCATCAAGAGGGGGTCTATTTCCTCACTCTGCAATTCTGGGATGGCAGAGCAAATTGAATTGAGCAATGGATGGCAGCAGAAAGCCAGTGTGAGATGTCCAAGCCTCGTCTCAAGAGGCTTTACCTTGTCTTCTCTTGGAACCCTGGGACTACCAGGGGAAGAAGCCAGGGACAGGCTGTTGGCCACATGAAAGAGGCCCAGCTGACAGCTAGTATCAACCCTCAATTGGGATAATGAGATTCTCCTGGGTCATTGTGTCCCAATAAAGCTGCCAGGGGCCTGCAACCCATGAGTCACCCCAGGAGAGACTTGAAGAATCATGAAGAAATAGTCATTTGAAGCCGCTGGGTTTGGGGAGGGCTGGTGACAGCATAGTTAACAGAGCATCACCTGAGAGCCTTTCAAAAATGCAGCTCTCAGGCCCCAGCCCTTACTGAATCCTAATACATATTTTAACAAGATTCCCAGGCATTACAGTCTCCACCAACAAGGCAGCACGGCAGACACTGGGGCTCCATGTGGAAAGGCTGATCACAAGCCCCCTCATCTTTGCCTTCATCAAAGCAAACTGTTTGTTCCAAACTTGTAGCTGGGGTGGCCATGTGACCCAGTTCTGGCCATTAAGATGCCTTACAGGTCCCTGGAAGGGCTTCCCTTTTGGAATAAGAAGTTGATGCCTTTAGGACTTTTCTGTCTTCCCTCCTGGGACAAGGCACACAGTGTCTGGAGTTGGTGCAGCCGTTTTTGCAACCATAAGACAATAACTATGAACACCAGACCAACTGGTTAGTATAGCAAGGCAGAAAGAAGAAAGAGCTGGATCCTCAGGGTATCACACAGCCATGTGTCAGCCCTGTGTGGCCTACCCAAGACTTCTGTGGCTCAGACAAGCCAGCCCCTCTCTATTAGTTGGCTTTTTAGTTGCATGCAGCCAAACCTGATCCTAAGTCCTACCTACCTAAGTCCTAAAAAAGATAAAAAGTTTCATCAAAAAAGAAAAAAGCCACCATGAAACAAAACTTAAAAACAAATGACAAACCCAGGGAAATCTTTACAGTAAGTTTGACACAGGGGTAATGTCTCCAACACATTAATATCCAAAGCTTTTATAAATTGAAAAAAAAAAGCTATAAGCAACCCATAGAAAAATAAAGAGCATGGATAGCTTACTAAAGAAGAACTGCAAATTTAAGAAACTGAAACCTCACCGGGATCAATGGAGTGCACATAAAACAATAATGTGCCACTGCTTTTTACCTATCAATTGGATTGGCGGAGACTTTTTTCTAAATTACAAACTGGCAAATTGGCGTGATCTTTCTGGAAAGCAGTTCGGTTGTAATACGTTCATTCCTTTGGCCCTGTAAGTCTGCTTCTAGGAATCTGCCCTAAGGTAATAGCCAGAATTTCAGTTGGGTTATGGGAGAGGAGTCCATTATGATATTATAAAAGTAAAAAGTTAGACTTGTGCCAAATGGCCAATCAGAAGAGACTGGCTTGGTGAATTTGGGCACACACGCAAACTCAAGTATTTCGCAGCTGTATGGGAGTTTTAACTAAGAGGTCAGGAGAGTCCAGCAGTGAATGTTCGGGCCTTGGGGTCACTAGAGTTCAAGTCTGACTCATCACTTAAGACTGAGGCCTCCAGCAACCCATGACCCATCTGGAGACCATTTCCTCATCTGTAGAACGGTAACAAAACTCACCTAAAGATACAAGATAATGTGTGTAAAGGGTTTAGTCCAGACCTGGCCAAAAAATTCTTCCAAATGGGAGGTTCTGATTAATATTCTTGAATGGGAGATGCTGGACTCAAAATTCCAGCCCAATGCCAATTTTATAGAAGAAAAAGTATGAATATATGCATTTTTTGTAAAACTCAAAGGAAACACGCCAGATTGTTAAAGATGGTTATGTCTGCGTGTTTTTTTAAATTTCCTTCTTTAGTTTTCAAATATTCTACAATGAGTGTGAATATATATATGTGTGTGTGTGTGTGTGTGTGTGTGTGTATTTTTTTTCCCCAGAACTAAGGATTGAGTCAGGGGTATCCTAACCACTAAGCTACACCCCTAGCCCTTTTTATATTTAATTTCAAAGCAGGGTCTAAGTTTCCCCTACTGGCCTTGAACTTGCAATCCTTTTGTCTCAGCCTCTCAAGTCACTAGGATTATAGATGTGCACCTGGCTGTGTGAATAATTTTTGGTCTTTTTTTTGGGATTGAACTCAGGGGCACTCAACCACTGAGCCACATCCCCAGGCCTATTTTGTATTTTATTTGAGACAGGGTCTCAAATAGTTGCTTAGCGCCTCTCCGTTGATGAGGCTGGCTTTGAACTCAGGATCCTCCGGTCTCAGCCTCTTGAATCACTGGAATTGCAGGTGTGTGCCACCATACCTGGCTGTGTGAATAATTTTTATAATCAAGAAAAAAATTTCACTTTTTAGAAACTAGCTTAAAGCCAAGGCCTGAGGCCCTTAATTTCTCTTAATGACATTATGCATTTTTTCCATTGGTTTTCCACTTAAGGCTTTTGAGATCCGCCTCCTGACAGATTAACAATGTCTCGCTGTGTGCCAGACAGTGTTCCAGGCATACACGGGAACTGTTCCTCTTAATTCCACAGATGAGGACCAGGGAGGTTGACTTCCTTGCCTGGGGTCACAGAGCTGGTGAGGAGCAGACTGATTCAGACATTCCAACTGCTCCTTGAGGCTGCCTCTAGACAACCCACCACCTCCTGGCACAGCCCTGGTGCCCACGCCCCACCTGGCACGACATACCGAGGTGTGTGTTGGTCACAGAGTTTCCCATCCCTGACAGGTCAGCAGCCCCCTCCTCTCTGCTGACAGGGCCATCATTCCACATAAGGTCAAAGCCTCCGACTCGCTTTTCCCTTCCTGTGAGCCTGCATAGGCAGAGACACGAAGGTTAAAGAGGCCAGGACCCCACCCTCTCTCAACCCCACGGGTGTCCACCCTGTCAGAAGCCCTTTTTTTGGTCCAACCATTCACTGTCTGTTCCCTGGACCCCACAGTCTCTAAGAGGTTGAACTCTATTTTTATGCTGAGGTCCCCACACTTGCCCTCAGGAAGATGCACCCAGTTGTGATTTTCAGTTTAAAGTCTGTTTTCCTCCCCAGACCATAAACACCACAAAGCCAGGGACCAGGTCTGCCATCTTCATTACCGTATTCCTAGTGTGTGGCCCAGGGTCTGGCACACAATAGAGTCTCAAATGTTTATTGAATGAATAAGTAATGGTAGGTTTAGTGGATGCCTGAGGTTTTCTCTGCTCAGCATCCATTTCACCTTCTTTCAGTCCAGTGGTGCCTCTGCTTTTCTTGAAGAGTCACCCCTCTCTCCCTCACCCCTAGGCCTCGGGTGGGTTGCTCCTACCCCCTGGTCTATCAGAGTTACAGTGATTGGTTCAGGAATGGGCATTCTCACTTCCAGCATTGAGAGTTGGCCCTCCAACTTTTGCTGGAATAATTGGGAGAAAGCTGATACAGAAGAGTGGAGGTGGGCAGAGAACAAGTGTGTGAGTGTGTTTGTGCAAGAGAGGGAGGGAGACCAACCAACTAACATTGACTAAGTACCTGATGCACCCATTCCTGAAGCTAACCCTGGGTCCTTCCCATTACACAAACATTGTTATAACAATAAATAGTCTCTTATTGGGGCAGTTACTGTGAGCTAAGCATTTTGCAATAAATGATCTTAGTAAATTAAAATAACCCTGAGGGACAGTCATTTCCCATTTTACCTCTGAGGAAACTGAGGCTCAGAGAGGTGAAGTGATTGGTCCAGGGTCCCATAGTTAGGAAATTTTGAATAAATCCTGCTAGACTGAGTCTCAGAAAGCTGCGGATGGCCTTGCTCCCTTCTGGAGAGGCCGAGTCCTTGGGCCAGGACCTGACCCTGTGTGGACATCCATAAAATGTGGGGCCATCCAAGGGCCTGAGTTCTCTTCCCTGGTGGAGCGCCGGCTGCCTCGGCCAGGGCTGCCTCACCTGGCCTCCATGTCCACCACGTGCAGTGTGTCCTGCAGGAGTCGGGTCTTGAGCTCATAGTCCTCCTGGCTGCTGGCCGTGAGTGACGGGGATGCGTTGACCTCCAGGAGCCACCTGGGGAGGAACGGGAGGGAGAATCTGAGGATTTCCCTGAGGCTAGATGCGGTGCCTGGGACCCACTGTCGCTCCACCCAGGCTGCTCCGTCTTTCCCTCTGAAGAAAGGGAGCTTAGAGCAGCGGAGCCGGCCCTGGGCGAGGGGGACCGTGGGGCCCTCCTGCTGGTGATGCTTTTCCTTTTCCAGTGGAGACGTGAGTGCAGGAAGATCCCTTCGAGAGGGAAAATTTGCCACGGCTGGCAACTGACCTGCCGGGTCAGGGGCTAGGCAGGCGGGGATGGGGGTGGGAGGTGGCGGGAGACGGCATCTAAAGGGAGAGCTGTGGGCAGCTGCAGGACAGCGTTGCCCCAGGGGAGCGTGAGCCCAGAATTATGAGATCATCTGATTTTTCTAGAAAAGCCCCAAATCCTGATTTTTAGGTAAACATCTCCCAGATTTTGTCAAAAAAATTAAACACAGAAACATTCTGAAGATCAAACCTAAAATACCTGTATTTGCAGGTCCCAAACAGCCCAGGACCTCCAGTTCCCTGGAGCCCACATGGGTCCGGAGGTTTTGTGCAGCCTGGTCATTTTACAGACAGGAAGCTGGGGCACAGGAAGAGCAAAGGGCTCCCCCACTGGACAGTGGGGGGCCAGAGACCCCCTTTCTACTCCTCCCAGCTTGTTCCCACCTCAGTCTACCCTAATGATGCAGCCAGAGCTCGCTGCCAGGGGCAAAGGAGAGAGACTGCTGGGTGCTGGGACTCAGTGTCCCTTTAGCCAGGAGCTGACTCAGGTGTCACTACTCCTGGCTCTGAAAGCCCACAGCACCTCTGGAGTGACCTTGGGCAGGGGAGTGGCCTCCTGCATCCAGCAGTGCTGGTGGGGAGCAGCCCAGCCCGGGCACTTGACCCTGAGCTTCATTTTGCCCTTGACTCGCCGCTGACCTCCCCCTCCCCCAAGCCGACAACCCACGGGTTCCCATGTCCTGTCGTGTCATGTGAGGCCATCGCTCTGGTCCCTGCCAGCTCTAGCTTGTTCTCCTCGCCAGCTCAACCCCCTCCATGGGCAAGAATGCACCACATTCTTGGCAGGAACAGCCACCGTGACAATATTCCCTTACGTGGCACTTCACATCCTCCAAGTGCCAAGACTTCCAGAGGGGAAGTGTTTTGCCGGGTATGAGGGGAGCACCCCTCACTCTGCCCACCAACAGGACAGGCTTCCCAGAGCCAGCACCAAGCCCCGTGTCCCACAGACAGCTCATTTGTCCCTCCTGGAGGCACAGCAAGGTGACCAACCCTGTTTTACAGACTGGCAAACTGAGGCACAGAAAAAAAGAAGTGTGTCCAAGGTCACACAGCCAGGAAGTGGCCGAGCTGGGCTCCCAGACCAGGGTGCCCGCGTGTAAAGCCAGACCCCAGGCCCGGCCGCCCACTTACGGCTTGAGGTCCTGGTCGATGAGGATGTCGTAGCCGTACAGCTCGAAGCAGTGCTTGTCGCTGATGATCACCTTCTGCACACTCTGCAGGCTCTTGATGAAGATGTTGTCCATGTCGCGGAAGAGCGCCTCCACCGCCTCGGGCCCGTGCCTGGACGCCAGGTACTGCCGGAAGCGCTGCAGCATCCACTTGCAGCCCTGGGACCCGGGCAGTGGGGTTGGCAGAGGAACTTGAGCCACCGGGATCCGCCTGCCACAACCCTCCTACGAGCCCATCGGCACTACCCTAGGCCTGGGCAAGGGGGGCCCAGCCCTGAGTCCCAGGATTAGGACAGCTAGAGTGTACCCCCCTCGTGGGTGGCGATTCTGATCACCCATAACTGGCTACCCAGGCCCCCAGAGGCCCCTGCCCTGATGGCCGGCACAGGCCCTCTCCCTGGGCCTGCTTTTGAGGGCATCTCAAGGCCTAGGATGGTCAATGGGCTGCTGGTCACAGGGTCGTGTGTGTGTGCAGTCCCCCTGTGTGGGATGGAGGCACAGGACAGAAAAGAAGGGAGCAGGTGTGAGCTGAGGCTCACTCTCCCGTGGCCCTAGATCAGGCCCTTCACTCCCAGAAGCCCGAGCTCTCAGCATTTCAACCTGGCTCTGCAGGTTACTATATAGATGACAGATAGATAGATAATAGATTGACAAAAAGAATGTCTATATGATACACCAATCAATGGATTGATCAATAGGAGGTCTCTGTCGGATGGAGCACATTTTCTTTAGGGGTGCATTTTTTTGACCTGAACTTTTAAATATTGAGGTACATGGTCCATGGACCTCTGTTGTACCTTGTCCTGGGCTCTGCAAATGGCAAGGGTGGGCCTGTCCTCGCTGGTGAGCTATGAGCCCAAGACAGGCCTGTCCTGGGTGCCCTGCCTCTGCCCTTCCCTCCCAACCTCATCCCAGAAGGCTGCCGGGGAGGGTAGAAGCCCAGCTTCTCACCTTCTTTAGGTGGTAGTCCGGAGATGTCTTTTGCACAGCGACATTGGTGAGGTGAACATCTGGCAGAGGTTGGTGGTCAAGGACAAGTGTGGACAGGAAGGACAAGACACCCTCCATAGTACCCCCAGGACTGAACTGAGACCGTTTGGGAATTGATGAGGAAAACTACAAAACAGCTTAAAGTTCACATATGTGGGCTGTGGAGCCAGATGGGCCAGGATTCAAATCCGCCTGCCTCTTTACTACCCGTGAGCCCCTGAGCCTGGGGCCCTTGCCCTCTCTGAACCTTTCTGCCCACCTATTATAGTATGTTGGCTTCACAGGATTATTTGAAGGATCAGATAAAACACTGTATAAAAATGCCTCTTAGCCAGGTGTGGTGGCCCACGCCTGTAATCCCAGGTACTTGGAAAGCTGAGGCAGGAGAATTGCAAGTTCAAGGCCAGCCTGGGCTACTTAATAAGACCCTGTTTCAAAATAAAATTCTAAAAAGGGTTGAGGATGTAGCTCAGAGGAAGAACACTCCTGGGTCCAGTCCCCGGTCCCCACTCCCAACAATCACAAGTGCCTCTCACAGGGCCTGGCAGAGCTGATATTATGATGATTTTTTTTTTCAACTCAAGAGAGTTTTTTAACAAGTAGAGACACCAAATGTAGCACAGTCATCTCAGGACACACTGAGCTCCCTGTCACCAAAGGAGTTTGGACTGGGTGGCCACTAGTAGGAATACTAGAGAAGGGATTCAGCATTGGGATGGGGTCAGGTGGCCTTAAAAGGCCCAGCCCTGAGAGTCTGCTTTTGGTATAATCACTGTTGTTACCTTCAAATGACATCAGTGACACGGTGCAGCTCAGAGTTCACACACATCATCTCATTTGTTCCCAGATACTTCCCATCTAACACATGAGACTTTGGAGGCCCACAGAAAGTAGTGACAGCCATTTGAGATACCCCTTCCTCAGCACCCTCCCCCAGGGAGCAGGATGGACACCTGAACCTCATGAAATGACCACTGTACGCAGCTTCCTCCAGGACTCATTGGGAAGGTAGAGGCTCTAGGTCACTGGCTCAAGTCTAGTTCCCCTAAAGCATGCTTCTCCCTGTCTGTCACATATGGGACAGGGCAGGGTGGCTTCCACCTCTCTGAGAAGGTGGGTTTCCTTGTTAGTGTCTTTTTTCCTAGAATGTCATCTTCAGAACTTTTCAAAGAAATTTTTCCTTTCATATTTGAAAATTTTCCTGCCTCCACTTCTAAAGAAGGAGCACACAGACAATCACTCCATAGGATGGAGCCCTCAAGCCTGTGTCCAGGTCATTTTCCAAAAGGTGCTGGGGCGATTCAATAGGGTGTGTGGGGGGGTGTCTTTTGAACAAATGACAAATGGAGCAGGAACTCCTGGATATCCAGGTGCAACAGAATAAAACAGAACCCCTTTCTCATACCTTAGACCTACATATAAGAGACAAAACTAAAAATTCTTAGAAGTATACATAGGAGTAAGTTGTACATTGGCCTAGGCAGAGTTTCTTAGATATGACACCAAAAGCACAAGCAATAAAAGAAAAAATAGATAAAATGGGCTTTACCAGAATTAAAAATGTTTGTGCTTTAAGGGACATTATCAAGACAGCGCTAAGACACCCCACAGATGGGAGAAAGTATTTGCAAATCACATATCTGATGCGGGACCAGTATCCAGAAAACATAAAGCATTTTTACAAATCAACAATAAAGAGACCAACCCATTTTTAAAAGAGCGAAATTTGAATAGACAGATCTACAAATGGCCAACAAACCCATATGTGTCATGAGGGAAATGCAAGGTAAAACTACTTCACAACCACGGGGGCTGGTGTAATAAAGTGGTTAGACGATATTGTGTGTTGGTAGGAGGTGGGGAAATCGGATTCCTTCACAAAATGCTAGTAGAAATGAGAGATTGTGCAGCACTTTGGAAAACAATTTATCAGTTCTTCAAAGGGTTCAACAGAATTACCACGTGGCCAGCAATTCCATTCATAGCCATGTGCTCAAGAGAAAGAGAATAGCCCATAAAAAAGTTTGTACCTCTCTCTCTACTCTTTTAGTACTGAGGATGCAACCCAGGGCCTTGCACCTGCTAGGTCAGGGCTCTGCCACTGAGCTACACCCCAGCCCTTTTGCACAACAAGTTCTCAAAGCAGCATTTTTTCATAATAACCCCAAAGGGGTAACAACACCTAGTGTCTATCAATAGGCAAATAAGTATCATGCCCCCTTTATTGGAATAGAATATTATTTGGCATCAAAGAGATAGGAAGCTTAATCCCAGCTACCTGGGAGGCTGAGGCAGGAGGATGGCAACGTTCAATTCAGCCTGGGCAACTTAGACCCTGTGTCAAAATAAAATAAAAAGGGCTGGGGAGGCAGCTCAGTGGTACAGCACTTGCTTAGCGTTTGTGAAGCCTGGTTCAATCCATCTCCAGTACCAGAGAGAGAGAGGGGAGGGTATCGGTACATGTTACAATAAGAAAAATCTTGAAATCATCATGCCCAGTGAAAAAAAGGTGGACACCAAAGACCACACACGATTGCTCCCACTTACATTAAACGTCCAGGACCTTGCACATTCTGGGCAAGCGCTCTGCCACTGAGCTACATCCCCGTGTCTAGGAAGATGCCTGGAGACAGAAAGTGTTAGGGTCTGTAAACAAGTCAAGATGGCGCCTGGCATTTTGCCAGAGGGAGTGGTTTGTGAAGTAACGCCAGCGAGCCATTAAGTGTGGAGATTCCTTATTGGTTGACTGCTGTATCTAGTTTATGTTAATTAAGATAAGCTGTGTGTAATGTATATATACCCCTCCTGTCCTACAATAAACGGCTCCCACTCCAGCTGTATCAAGTTGTTCGTCACCCCCCGGGTTATTTTGCTGCAGCCTGACTGTGGCAAGAAAGCAGTTACAAAGGGCTGGGAGGGGAGCCGAGGGGGCATGGAGAGTGCTGGCTAGTGTGTGTGCGATTTCTTTTGGGGGAAGATGGAAATATTCTTACTGACTGTGCTGATAGCGGTTTGATTATGATACACACCATTCCTTTGCTTGCTTTATCTGGGTGAATTGCACGCTGTACAAATTATATCTCAATGCTAGATATAGATCTCAGTATAAAAATAAGTTGTAAAGCTCAATTATATCCCAATAAAGCTGTTATTAAAAAAAAATAGGAACAAGAGGAAGCTCAGGAAAAACAAGTTCCTGACGACGACGCAGGGGAAGAAAGCTTGGCTCCCAGCTAGACCCGCTTCCCTCTGCTCCTTCCTGCAGGGGGGAGGAAGCAGGGCCTCCCCAGAGCAGAGGAGGAGCAGGGCTGAGGGAGGAGAGCCAGTGGGCCAGCCTCAGCCCTCGCCTCCACCGGCATCCCCAGATCAAGTCCTGACGGACCCAAGAGACAAGTAGCAAGGAGCAAACAAGCCATCAAAATCAATCTGTGAGAGGTGCAGCTGTTGTGAAGTCTTTAGGGGAAGAGAACTTCCCTCGCCTAACGATGACAGTAGAGATGACAGCGGATCTCAATGGACAGCGACGGAATCAGCTGAGTGCAAATGGAAACAATCACATCAGGACAAAAATTAAGGGGCAAACCCAATGAGAGACTATGGCAAATGTGACAGCCTAACATTTCTGCCACATGAAAATCTCCATAAATTGTCAACAGTAAAACGCTATGTCCCTAATAAATAAAGGCTGTGAAAACATAAAAGAGAAACTGTCCCTGGTAAAAGGCCATCTGGGAAAATGCTCAAAGTTTCTAGTAATAAAAGATACACAATGTAAAAGGAATGTAAATGAGGGGCATGGAAATTGATGAAATCCTGAGGCAGAAACCTCCTTCCTCATCAAGGCAGTTACACCTTTGTGCTTTTTCATTTTGGAAAATTTATAATTCAGAATAGTTGCAGGATAGCGTCACGAAGGCCTGGGGATTATTCACCCAGTCATGCCCATTGTCTTAGAAATGGCTTTATAAAATAACTGTCCCCAACAGTGGGGACCGGAGATGAAATGAGTGTGTTGGGGTTGGGGACATAGAGAGCTCCTCTGGAAAGAACCCGGTCAGATGCCCTTGACCCAGTATTTACTCCTTTGTCACATCATCCAAAGGGAAAAAAATGCAGTAAAATTCTTGACCAACAAAGTTGTCCCTTTCTCCTAGAAGACAATGTACGGTCGACACTCCAATGTGTAGGTGCAGGCACGACTTTCTCAATAGGACCCTAAAGCTCAGGAAGTAATGCCAAGAGTTAATAAATGGGATGGTATCAAATTAAAAAGCTTCTTCACAGCAAAGGAAACAATTAAGAATGTGAAGAGAGCCAGGAACAGTGGTACACACCTGTAATCCTAGCAGCATGGGAGGCTGAGGTAGGAGGATCGCAAGTTCAAAGCCAGCCTCAGTAACTTAGAGAGGCCCCACGCAATTTAGTGAAAGCTTGTCTCAAAATAAGATATTTTGGGGCTGGGGATATGGCTCAGTTGGTAGAGTGCATGTCCCACATGCACAAGGCCCTGGGTTCAAACTGTAGCACCACACACA